CTATGCCGGTTTCAAGCAGGGCCGCGTCAAGCCGCCTCCCATCGCTCAGCCTCCCACACCAGCAGAGATCATCCGAATGCGCACAAATGCCGCATCCGACTGGGCTAGCGGCGAAGCGATCGAGGCGCATCGTCAGGAAGGTGGCCTCTCCTTCCACTGGCGAGACTATCTCGACCTCGCCCCGCGCCAAGGCCCGGCAAGCGGTGGCGACTGGAGCGAACTGCCTGCGAGCACGCGCAAGGGCGGTCTGGATGCACCCAGAGACCCGCGCGACGGCCGCATCACCGACGGCCTCAGCCGCAACGACGTCGACCGCATGCCCATCGAGCTTCTCATGACGCGCGACCTCACTAACGAGCGCGGCCTCAAGTGGAGGATGAGGAGATGGAAGGAAAAGCAGGCCGAGATGCAGCAGGAAGCCATCCAGGAACACCGCGAACGATCCAAGCTGCTCAAGGAACTCGACGCGCTCAAAGTCTAGCCTCATCATCATCGCCTCTCACCTGCAATCTCATTCGTCTGGCACTCGGGTCACCTTGTGGATTGGCTTCGGCGCGATGGCGCAAGCCTTTGATCATCGTTGACATTTCCTCTAGGTTGTGAGCGTCATACAGCTTCAGCAACCAGCTGCTTGGCCGAGGCAGGTGCTCTGCGCAGGAGGGCCTGTTGGAGGCGTTTGAGCAGGCGCAGCATGAGTAACGGATCGCCTCGGCCCGTCACACGCTTGAAGGCGTACAAAAAGAAGCTCGACACGAGCGCCAGGCTGATGATGTCGAGAGCCAGTCGTGCGCCCAGATTGACCAGCGCCACCAAGATGCGTACGGGCGAAGTCAAGAGGTGGAAAGCAGCGCCACTGCGGTTGGTGGCGCCTCCACCCTCGGCGAGGAAGCTGGGAGCGAGCGCTTCGGAGCGAGGCCCACGTGCGACGGCGTTGAGGCCGATGAGCTGTCGAACGTCGTCGACGATGTTCATGAGCGCGTGATAGAGGCGTGCTGTGGCGGGTTGGTTCGAAGAGCTGGGATGGCGAGCATCGTCGGCGGCTGCAGATGAAGCGCGACCCTCTACGCGGTTGAGACGCTCGTGCAGCGCCGCGAGCGATGCTTGGATGGACTGGAGCGCCAACTCCATCTCGGGACGAGGCGGTTGGTGGGAGGAACCGGCGTTGGATGGCGGGCGAGGTGGATAGACGGGTGCAGGCCCGGTTCTGGTGCCGACGGAGCGACCGCCGACGGAGGAAGCGGCGTAGGTGCTGCGCTGGTAGTGGCCTGGTTCAGGCTGTCGAGGATAGTTGGAGCCGGCGACAGAGGCGGCGGTGGATTGGGGCGCGTAGGTATGGCGCGTGTAGCCTCCTTGCAACGATGGGGGGCCGCGCGGTCGAAGAGTGGTGGATGCTTCGTGGACCGACGATGTAGGCACGTTGGAGCGAGAGGGAGGACCTCGTGCGTAGCCTTCGGTGGCGGATACAGAGCCTGGGCGAGGCTGGGGACGGTACGAGTGGATGGAAGGAGGGGCGTGCGGGGTGGGATGGCGTGCGACGCTACGGAATGGACCCGGTTGGGAGCCGAGATGATCGTCGTCGGAAGAGTCTTGCTCCGATTCAGAGGCCAGGGGTGTTCTTTGGGTGGAGATGGCGGAAGCGGCGCCTCCGCCGCGGGTGGCAGCCGTGCTGGTGCCCGTGACGGACGGAGGATGGGGAGCGAGATGAGCGGGCAGCTGGAGCGGAGGCGGCTGCTGTCGAGAAGGGCCCGAGGGAGGCTGATGGAGGCCGGTTGGGTCGAGACGCTGCTGGTCGTCGGTGTCGGATTCGGTGAGCGATTCGTCGTCGGAATCGACCTGTGCGAGGGAGCCGTCCATGACGCGCTGTGCGACCTGACCGGAGAAGTTTTCGAGTTCTTGGATGAGGGCTGCCGCCTGTGGACGATCGCTGAAGCGGCGGAGGATCCTGAGCATGGACTCTACGTACATCTGCTTGGCGTCTCGAGGAGGCAGGCCGCTGACTTTGGACCAAGCGTCCCACTTTGCCCTGCCGAGCATGTCTAGCATGCCTGGACGCTTGGAGCTGACGTCGCCCTCGGTAGCCTGCTTGTAGAGGCTGTAAAGCGCAAGCTTCTCTTCGTAGGATGTCTGTATTGGACCTGACTTTGGCAGCGACTGGACCATGTCGACGGTCTTTACGAAGAGCGCATCGATGACGTCTGCGCTGCTCATGGTGGGCGAGTGTGGTGGCAGCGTAGGTGATGTCGGGAGTCGAGGGGAGAGGAGACGAGAGCGGGAGCGAGAGGAAAGAGCTTGTTGGATGGTGGCGTGTCTGTTGATTGAGAAAGGTGGGCGGCGATGGTGGTGACTGGGCATTGGCGAGCGAGTGGAGAAGCGGAGAACCCCACACGACGACGCCTGCTGGCTCAGCTCGCTCCTCAGCGCCGGCGGTGGATTTCGCTGATTTCCGGTTGGAATCCTGGGCGAGACGCGTCGGCAGCGCGTAACTCTCACTCTCTCCGACCCTCCGAGAGCAGCAGAAAGCAGCGCATTCCGGCTTTCAACTCGCGGCGCTTTCCACTCCTAGCCGGTTAACTTATCCGACATCCAGAATCCCACAAATTGCCGCACGAAAGGCTTTCTTTGTGGAGCCAACAAGGGCCAAAGGGCCAGGTCCGCACGGCCATTTTCCTGCATTCCTTTCTTCCACACCTTGCCCCAAGCCATCCGTCCTCCCCTCACCTCATTCATCGCCTTCGACATCCTCATCCAGTCTCGAAGACACCCTCCCAACATGACAAGTTGGTGGAGACGCACGTCCAGATACATCTCGTCCCACTCCAACTTTTTCGTCGTCACCGGCGGCCTCGTGGGCGGCGCCTACCTCCTCTCGCAGTATGCCATCTCCAAGTTCCAGCAGATCCAAGAGAAGCTCGTCAACGACAAGAACGCAAAGGAAAAGTAAGCTCCTTCATACATATCTCGCGCTTCCCACACATCTTGCTGACCTCTCTTCTCGACAACAGCCTCCGACGAAGATTCGCCCAAAATCAGGAGGACTGCACCTTCACCGTTCTCGCTCTCCTCCCAACCCTAGGCGATCAGCTCTTTGCGAAACATGACGTAGAACAACTCACCGAGAGCCTGCGCTCACAAGCAGCGCCTCCAGCTCCATCCACGATCACCTCCGACGCACCGCAACCATTAGCAGCCGAACCAGCTCCTCCAGCACCGATAGCCGCTTCAGCCTCCGATCAACAGGATCCACAGCCGCCGCAAACAGCTGAGCACCCAGCTTCTGAACCTCAATCAACGACCCACACCTTGCCCCAACCAGACGCTCCTTCGCCCCAACTCAACCCGCTCGCAAAGACATTTGTTCCCGGCGGAGCACCCGCGCCTGCCCAGACCACCCAGCCTTCCGTGGACACTGCGCAAGCCAATGGTTCCGAAGCTGCTCCCGACGCTCCTGTCGTCCCAGAGGCGGCGCAACAGCTCCCTACACCTCAGTCCTCCGACGAACAACCCACTGGCTCGCCACAAACCACAACCGACACCTCCGCAGAGCAGCTCGCGCAGACCCAATTGTCGCCAACTGTATCTGCCGTCCCTCCTCCATCCTCGGAGCAGTCCCAGGTCGATGCTCAGCAGCAACGCTCCAAGATCATCGCAGACAGGCACGCCAAGCTCCGTCTCTGGAACGATCTCAAGCTCACCTCCTTCACCCGCGCCATCACCTCGCTCTACTGCGTCGTCCTCCTCACCCTTCAGACACACATCCAGCTCAACCTCATCGGCAGATTCGCATATCTCGCTTCCGTCGAGGCGCTCGCCCGCGAATCCGACGACCCTTCCGTCCTCGCATCTGCGTCCCACCTCGACTCATCTCGCGTGCTCGACCACGACACCGAGCGCCTCTACCTCACCTTCAGCTGGTGGTTCCTCCACAGAGGCTGGAACGCCCTGTCAGATCGCGTCGCCGACGCCATCGCCAGGACTTTCTCGCCCCTCTCCGTCAAGGCACAGCTCTCCTTGACCGACCTCAAGGCTCTCGTCAACGATGCCCGCTTCATCATCGAACACGAGCCGTCCTCGAACGCCACCAATACCAACACCACTGACCAGCCAGCCTGGAAGCGCTCCCATTTCCTCGACGTCCTTTTCCCCAACTCCACAGAGGACGAGGCAGACGTCCTCGTCGGTGCAGGCGCCCTCGATGGCGACGCCGCCGTCTACGCCCTCGCCACCAACGACAAGCTCAGAGCTCTCCTGGACGAGACGAAGGACATCATCGAGTCCCAAGACTTTGGCACCATCCTCTCCCTCTGCTTCGACCGCGTCTTTGAAACCTTTTTCGACAGCCTCTGCCCCACCTTTGGCGTTCAAAAGTCCGGCAGAATCGACTCGACCATCCAGGTGGAGCCACTGTCCGCACTCGAGTCGCGCTTCCAAGAGATCACAGACGAGATGCAGCACGGCAAGCGTGTTCGTCTTGCCTCCCTCTTCCCCCTCGTCTCGAGGCAGAGTCAGATGGCCATTCGCGGCGTACCAAACGAGTACATCGAGGTCCTCGCCGACGCCAAAGAGCTCCGTGCTTTTTCGGCCGTCCTGTATGCAGCCTGGTCGCCCATGTAGTTGTACATTACGTTCTTGTTCAAATCTTAATCCGTCCATCCACCATGACATCCACACAGTCGATCGTACGCCATCGCAGAACCATGATCCATGAGCAAGCCAAAGGGTACGCGTCCACTTGGTGTGGAAACGCTCCGCCAAGCGACTCTTCAGCGCCTCTGACGGATGAGGCGAGCTGCGCTTTCCATGATTGACCGCGCTGACAACAATCATCACTCGTAGCCTCAAGCACGTTGTCGGCGCACGACAAGCGGTGGAGCCTGCTGATCATCTGCAAACAATCGGAGAAAGACAAGCGTGAATCAAGTTTTGTGGTTCTAGAAGTACAGTTCGGGATCGAGCATGAGCCAAGGCGGATGGTGCAAAGTCGCAACTCAAGACGTCGCAACTCAAGACGTCTCCATCGGCACTGCTTCGGCAGTCTCGCTGGTCGCCGTGAGCACCTTTGCGGATCGTCGCGCGTCCATAAAGAGTTCGTTGGCTTCCGCAATATCTTTGGTGGTGATCTCGGATCGACCTGCGGTCTTGGCGAGGATGGAAGAAGGGCTCAAGAGCTGGAGCGCGAATCTGTAGGCGTGGAAGCATGAGCAAGATACGGTGCATCGGAAGGCGGGAGTGGTCAGCTGATAGTCAGGCGAGGGAGAGAGACTCATCGGGATCGGACCGGACGATACTTACCTGAGCGAGCTTCGTACGCCCTCTTCTGTGAGTTTCTCGAGCGCATCTTCGGCGATCAAGTGGCCTTCCACCTTGGTTCGCAATCGCAGCACCTCTCGAATCTCGTCCTTTTCGTACGGCATGGTGCGCACGATCATGCATCGGTCGAGCAAATCCAGAGGAATGCCGTGAGGAGCCACAATGCCAGTGCCCGAGGCAGGTCCCTCGTACTCGGTACCGCGCACCATGCACTGACCGCGGTTGGTGGCCAAGATCACGTGTGGGCTGATGGTCGACTCGAGCGCTCGGTTGAGGTAGGTGAAGCACTCCATGTCGAGCATGTGCACCTCGTCGATGAAC